TATTAGCACATAGATCAATAAACAAATGCATTTGGCTACCAGATTTGACCATAGACTAGTAGTCTATTAACTACTCTAGTCTATAGGATAGTCGGTAGCTAGTCCAAATACTAGTTCATAGACTAATCCCTAGACTAATTTGTAGATAAAGAGACCATAGGAAAGCCTTAGACTAGTCCAATGTCTAATAAAAAGTACTTTAAACGTCTATTCGAAATAGTATTTAAAAAACCTTCGAAATTCAAATTTAACTAACCCGTTAAAAAATTAATCCTAAAGAAGCAGATATTCTCTTTATTACAAATTATTACTGCTTGTCTAGTTGTAATCTTTTCCAGGTTTCTTAACAATATGAGAGAGTACATATAAACAAGAATTGAATTTTCCTCTTCTGCAGTTTAGTTTACCGCAGTAGGCTATTCTTTGAACTTTGTGCCAGAAGTACAATTTCAGATTATTACTTTAATAAGGAAATGAATTTTAAATTGTACAAAAATGGTCATTCGTGTACCATTGTACTTTTTAGGATTGAATTGTACCAAAGAAAGTACAATTGTACCAATTTTACCAACCCTGGTATAAGTATTTGAGTTTGTGTAATATTTATAAAGAGTAACAAGCTTAAAAATTAATTCCAATTAATTCGAAAATTACTCTAAAACGACCTCTAATTCGACTCACTAATGACCCGAAAAAGATTAAAAAATTATTCGGAACTGATCAGAAGAGGGGCTCATAAAATACTCTAGGGTGCATAGGCTACCAATTTCTTCCGACGAAAGTATCATTTATGATCAGAAAATGAGCGCATATATGATCCTTTTAATCAGGCAGAAGAGTCATAAATGTCTCGAAATTGATTAAAAATTCCAAAAAATGCTAGTTGGGATAATAAATCTAACAATTGAAAGAGTTATATTTCGAGGCAATGTTGTCAACTAGTAATTTTATAACAGTGCTTATTGTGTGAACAAGATAATCTAACACCAAAACTAGCTAATATAAAGTACATTTCTTACTTACTAATTAATATATTTAAACTAAACTTTCCTTCAACTTAATTGATATTCACAGTTTCAATCAAAACTTTCCATTTTTATATAAGGGAAACACTATTTACAGGCAGTACCAATTGTCGGCAGACACATATAAAAGTAAGAACTATTTATTTAATATTTAAAGGAGTTTCATTTCTGTTATTTTTATGGTTTCTAAACAACAGCAACAATAAAACTTTAACAAAAGTTTTTTCTAGCACTTAAAGTAATAAAGAACTAAAATATTTCTGTTTTATTCAGTCTCTTAAACAAATAAGGTTAATTGAAGGCATTGTAGTTGTTGCTGTCTTGATATTTGCCAAATATTAAACAACTTGTGAATAGTAAATTGAAAGCAATTAAAAAGATATGAATTTTTAGTAACAAAAAAAGTTCGTGCCATTTTAACACATAATAAAAAAACCAACACCATATGCAGATTTATTAGAAATGAATTAAAAATTTTGATTTCCATATTTTGCCCAATTTTTGGGCATTTTGGACAATTAGGGAATATGGAAAATAAATTAGCGAATGTTGTAAAAATTTTAATAAGTTTTTAATTACGCGTTAAACTAAATTAAATAATTAAATTGGAATTTATTTTTTAACTTTAATAATACAAATAACAAGTGAAATTTCACTTCAGCTGGCTCTAATAAATTGCTTTTTGTAAATATTTAAATTTTTTCAAAATATTTAATACTTATACATACTTATAAGTCTAAGCCTACTTTATCTACCCACCCCCCAAAAATATTTACTTGACTGTGTTCATTTCTTGCCAAATCAATCAATTTCAAAATCAATTTTACACAATAGAAATCATCTTAAAAAAGTAAAAAGCTTTATTATTTGATTAAAGATAAATTTCCCAAAAAAAAACACAATCGGCTTAAATTTTTCACATTTTTCTTTATATAAATAGAAACAAAATATGTGAGTTGTGGAAATGTTGTAGTTAAGACTTTTTACGAGACAATTTTACTTTTCAGGGAATGATACTGTTATACTACTAAATAAGAAAGAAATACCTTAAAAAACTAAAGCAATTTTGTTTATTTTTAAATGTCTTTTGTCTGATGTAATGGAAACAGAACGAGTAAGAAAATTGAAAATTTAAAATTACACCTTGTTTACCTTTAACAGAAAAACTAAAGGAAAAAGTAAAAAAAAAATGAATGACAGTTGAGCATGTGTAGGCGAAAGTATACGACGATACATCTCAGCAGTTTTTTTAAGTTTACTGTATCCTTTTTAGACCACAACTACTATTACGAATGTTATACTTATATATTAATTCATTGGGAGAGATTTGAAAAGCTGTTACTGTTAGTAAAGTTAGAGGGTCTTTTAAACTTTTCTAAAATGTTCTTTTGATGTTTATTTAACAATAGTTTACGGTTAAACTCCCAGAACTGTTGGGATACTAAACACCAATGTTATGTTGAGAACCTGAAGATCAACAACTAAATAATGGAAAAAAGTACAATTTCTTTCACTTGTTGCCTTTAGAAAATAAAAAAAAAAAAAAGTTCTGTATATTAAATGTGACTGAAAGAAGTTTTCAATACAGCCAACGCACATGTGGGTCAAAAAACAAAAAAAAAAAATACTCGACTCTACCAAATGCATACTTGTGTATTTATACCCCACACCACTATAGTGGGGAGGGTATTATGCGTTTGTGCTGATGTTTGTAACGCACAAAAATTTTGGTCTTACACCCGCCTTAAAGAATCACTTGCTGAATCGATTAAGACATGTCCGTTTGTCCGCCTGGCTGGCTGTTCATGTAAACCTTGTGCTCAAGCTACGGTCCACAATTTTCAACATATTTTGATAAAATTTGGATAAGGACGATGCCCATTGGAAATTATTGAAATCGGTCCATTATTTCACCTAGTCCCCATACAACCTGACCTTCCGATTTGGGGTTTTTAACTCATAATTACGTCAAATATACTACTATCTCTTCAAAAAGTTTTATATAGCCATAAGTGACCAAGCCGATTTTTGTAATGATCGGTCGTCGTTTTACCCTTGCCCCCATACAAATTTCCCCTTAAAAAATATCTTAAACGTTCAAAAAATTGACTTATAATCATTAGTATCGCGATGAAATTCAGCATAACTAAGCTTTATATAAAAATAAATCAATAACTTGCTTAAATATATCGGAATTAAGGTAAAATTCAACATAAAATTTTTTTTACGAAAAATAAATAATTTTTAAAATATACTCTTGGTGTCTCTCATATAGTGGGCCATGCCCGACTATACTTTCCTACTTGTTTTTAATGGGGATATCACTAAGGAATCAAATCCTAAAGATATTATGTAATATTTCAGAATAAAACAGCATATCAATCGGAGAGTCGTGAATTTATATTACATCAGCTTCTCCGATCTGTTGATCAGATCTAAGCTAGATTTTGTACAACTCAAAATAGTTAGAGTAATAAACACTTTAAATTCAAATTAATGAGGAACTTTTGACTTAATGAATACATTCTTTTATAGCTTTGTGTGTGTGTATAAAAGTTTATAGTATGGAGGAACATAAACTCTATATAAATAGGTACATACTGTTTGTTTTTCTTGCATCTTCTCTGCAACGTTTTTCCACTACTTCGTTCATCTCTGATTTTTTTTTTTTTTTTTTGATACATGTCAGATGAGTTGTGTATAAAAATTGTATATTTATGTGAACTTTCAATTTCAAAAGCACAAAGCATAAACATTTCTACCAGTTTATGAAAAACTATACTTAAAAAAATAACATTTCATTTTATTTTTATATATCCAGCAGACAAATTGCAAGGGGAATTTCATCATATAGAAATGAAGTTTTTAAAGTTAAGAAAAATATTATTGTATACTGTAAATATTTAAATACTTGAGATATTTTATTAATGTGGCTTTTTTGAAGTACATACTCAATCTAGTGCTGCACTCATATGTACATACATTAGATCGACTCATAAATAGTAGTGCTTTCTCAAAAATCACATGATGTTAATCAAAATTTTTAGATTTTAGGGATGGCCGTAAATGAGACCGTTTTCCAAAAAATGGTGGTCACCATTTACCATTTAAGGTTAAGAGTCGCTAGACTCATAAAATTTTTCGAATCATCATAATACGATTTTTCTTTCCAGTCGGTCTACTTTGAGTAGGTCTAATGTACATTTTCATAAAGTTCTCGGTTTAAATGTTTTAGTTATACCTACATACTTTTGAGGGTAAATTAAAGTTTTACAAAATGTTACACATTAAGGTGAAAACAATAATTATTAAAATTAACAGGCTTCATTAAAATCCAAAAAAAAGTAAGTTGTTTAACAAAAAACCATATAAATGAGAAGTATTTAAAAGTTTCAGTTAGTTTCATTAGTTTCATTTCAATTAAGATTTAAAAAGAAAAAGAACAACAATAAGTAACGGAAACTTACTAAATAGTTACACTAAAATTGTAATAAAACTTAAATAATATTAATTTTTTTCTTTCTTTCTTATGACTTATAAGTTTGTCTATGGGTCTGTCAGTCAGTATAGAAAAACAAAAACTTTTTTACTTTCAATAAACTTTGTGTTAAACTTAAGTTAAGTCTATTTGTAAACAAACAAACGTCAAATCACAGAAAACTTTCCCATAAGATGAATAAAAACAAATTCATTTGATTGAATTCCTTTGCAGGCACATTTCAAAAACATCTCCTTCCTACATACATACACACATACAAACATCAGTTATAAAAGCCAAACATTTGAATGATTGATGGCAATTAATTAAATTTAATTAATCTTTTATACAAAAATAAACATATACATGCATTCGCACACACACACGTTTCCTTATACTATACTAACTGGTCCAATAATCCTGTTTGAATTTCTTCAAAAATTAGAAACAATAAAATTTCAACATAAAAAAAGTGTAATAAAAAACTTTTTACTTACATTCAATTAAACACATTATTTGCTGTTTTTGTTGTTGATGTTACTATTTGTGTTCTTGTTCCTTTTTACGTTTTTTTATGGGATTTTCTCGGTGAATGTGGAGGAAGACCTAAATGTGGCAAGTTGTAAATGAAAATTTTATCCTGAACGAAATTGAAAACTTTGTGGGAAATTTTCTATAATCTGCAAAAAGATAAGAGAATAAACAAACGAGAAAAAAAATACAATTAGTAAAAAAGAATTAAATGTTTTTTTGCTTAAATGGGTGTGAAATTCATTAAAAACAAAAAAAAAAAAAAAAGAAAATCAAATAAAATATTAAATTGTGTGAAAATTTCAATGACCATTTAATGAAAATAATTGCTTTTATTTTAAAGATTTATGTGAAACCATTTAAATTGAAGACTAATTGTAAATTTAATGTTATTATTAATTGTTGTTAAATTAATGCATTTAACTTTTCTAACAAACAAACAATTAAACTAATGTTGAGCAGTTATTGATTAAAAAAGGGGACCATAATTTAACATCTTTTCGTTGCGCAGCCTTTTTGGGACCCTTTAACCAATTGGCATCATAGAATGATCTTTTCCTTGAAGTAATTATTCCTTTAGTCTGACTTTAGTCTGAATAGTTACTTGTTGTCTAGGTTCTAATGTCAAAGTTGATAATTTATGCTATGGTGATTTATACTGAGACCTCTAACAGCTATCGCTGATCTTTTATTGGAGGTAATCGAGGGATTGCTATTTTACTTAAGGGCTTTGTGTTGATAATCATCTTATTATCACGATTTGGCTTTCTTAGATGGCTATTAAGGATCTGTGTAATTTATACTAGGACCTCTACCAGGATTACCTGGAGGTAATCGAGGGCTTGGTATTTTACTTAAGAGCTTTGTGTTGATCAACGCCTTTTTATTTTAATTTTACTTTCTTAGATGAGGGTTAGTGTACATCAAGGGTCTGTGAGATGGTCATCGTAATCGATCGAAAGCTGACATAAGGTACAGTGCTACTAGTGTTCACAAGTATCTTTTTAGGATTCAATAAATAAATAAATATTGGTAGTTTATTTTCAGTTAACTTGTTTTCCTCCTTCTTTAATTTTTATTAAAAAAATTCAATTGTCTTAATTACCTTATTGTTTTAAAACTTATTTTACTAATTTAATTAATTTTTTAATTGAATAAATTAAGCTTTTAATTGGTTTTTTGCTTTGAAACTTTCATTTTATAATTTCTTCGTTTATGACACAAAGAATGTTTATAATTCCTAAATAGTCAATAATATTTTAGGCAGAAGAAGTTCAAGTTTCATTACTTACAAAGTTTTAACCAAACTGTTTAATGTATTTGATTAATAAATAAATAAATATTTAATTTATTCAATTAATGAAAAAAAGGTTTCTGGGAAAAATAAGTTCAATTAACGATATACGATTTGTTAAATCAATATTGTTATTAGAGTTTGGGAATTCCCGGACTTTTCAATTTTCTGAGAAACGGGAAAGAAAAAATTAATTTACTGTGATTCCCGGGAATACCGGGAATTTATATAAAACTTAATTTTGAACTCTAATAACGACATCTTTTAACAAAAACAGACTACTTTTTTATAAATTTAGCGATATCTAAAATATTCTCTCTTTTGAGACAAATCAAACCATTTTATTTAATTTTGCCAACGAAAAATTTTAAACATACATATGTACTTATTTAAATCAAGCCTGTAGGGTACTACATGATCTCAATATTCGCGGCAACATAGAAATATTCTTCCACTAAGAATATTCGAAAGAATGATCTGTATTTGTCTTTGTTTGGATCCCTGTACATAGCGGCTTTTATGGAAATGAACAGGCAGATGAGTTTGCTAAGTAGAACGGGATCAGCTCTTGATATCTCCAACGCCGTTTCAATAGCAACTCCGTTAGGTATTATAAAGAGAAAAAATGTCCAGCTATTGAGATAACTCAAGCACTTTCCACAGACGTTGGCTTTAGAAATTCATTCATTTCAAAATGTTTGGTTCTATTTGTACTTGCTTCAAGTTGGGCTTTACATAGATTGATAGTTTTTAATTAAGGATTTTTTTCATTTCCTTCTGCACTATTAATGATGTTTTGTAATTTGATTTAAAAAAAAATCCCGTTTTTACGGGAATGATTAAAAAAATTTCCCGGGAAATCCCGACAAACTTTTCCCGAGAATTCCCGGACGGGATTTCCCGAACCCCAAACTCTAATTGTTATCCACAAGGATCCAAAGTTGTGAGTTTCAAGTGCATGAATTTTTTTGCAAATGTTATATTTCTAGTGTTGTAATTACAATTATTTTGTTAATATTTTTAGCATATTGTTGTGCCAAACCTGCATAGAATATTTAATTAGCATACACACTCCAAAGCTTACACTTAATGATTTTGAACAACAAGTAGTACATAACTGCAATAAAAATAATACAAAATTAAAACTAAATGAATAAATTTAATCCTCATATGAATCTATGAAGAGTTGAGTATAAAACCCCATAAAGGGACAGAGTGTTAAACACATACCTTTAGGAATGTACATATATATGCGCACAATAACAATAAGATGGTCAGTAGATACGAATATTAAACGAAAATTTCAGTGAAAATAAGCAGACAATTAGGCAAATACGTATGAGTGAGTAATGACTTCCAATTTCATAAACACTTGCAACATTACAGATGTTTTGTACACAGATAAATACTAGCCATATCTTTATTAACACTCGTGTGTTTATGTGTATGTATGTATGTTTGCATTACAACATTTCAGAGTACATATTTGACTACTGCTCAGCTCAGCTTATCGTATTCATTGGGTGTGCTGTTTGCTCCTTTGTGACTGACTGACTGTGGCTCCATTTGAAACTTCAAAACAATGACAAGTGTACAAATGATGCATTTGAATTTAAGGGTGTGTGAACCTATGAGTGTATGAATGTATTTGTCTGACATCTGACGTATTCACTGATCTTGTTTAGGTTTTAAATGAATTTATTATACAAACAACAACAACAACAACAACAACAACGACAACATTCCCCATTATTTTTGTTTATTTATATTATTTGTACTTTTATTTATTATACAAAAATAAAAAGTTGATATGAAGTAGTACGTGTACTAATGTATTTTATCCCTCTTTTTATATTTAATGGTTTTTGTTGCTGTCGTTATTATTTGTAGGTAAAAATAATACTAATAAAAAGCACAAATAGTGCAACTGTATGTATGTAAATAAGGTACATACATAAATTATATGACTAACAAGAGATATATCGTATTTACATGCACCCGACTGCACATAACAATTTTTTATTTACTTCTGAGAGAATCTGCTCTATTCGGGAAATTACGTTTTAGCGTTTATTTCTTAAATCAAAATGTTGTTTATAGACAACTGACGACGAAATGAAAGATCTGGGAGATTTGTAAAATAGTTTTGTTTCAATGTATTACGAGTTGTCTCCCTTAATAAAATTCTGCCAAATGAACAGTCAAATTTTTTATATATATTTTTTTTCAAATTCATGATTCATGAAACGTTGCAAACTTTCACAAATGAGAAAATTAATTGCTTAACTGAGAACCCAAAATGTCGTTAATAAGTACCTTTAACTTCGTTTAAAGTTAGTATACAAACTAAAGTTGAAATTAAAGCAAACACCAATTTCACAGAATAGCTCATTATTTGTCGACTTATTTATGTAAATAATTATTTTTTCATTCAACTAATTTTTCATTTCCCATGTGCAAATAACGTGTGTGCATGAGTAAGTGTTTATGTGTGTATTTAGCTGCTCCGTATAGATTACAAACAGGATTGCATACAATATTGGTGTGGCATGTATGTATGCGAGTGCTGCAACTGTAACACGAATGCCTTTGACTAAATGGTCCTTTTATATTTGTTCAGTGTAATTTCTGTTTGCCTATTCATTTGTATGAGGTTTGTGTTGATGTGTAAGCCCATGCATATTTTGTAGATTCAGGTCTATAACGACCTGCCTGCCTGCCTTTCATGTCAAGTCAGACATTTTAGACACATTTTTCAATGGCAGACATAGAATATTTTCATGTTTGTTTTCGTTATTTGTTAATTTTTCCCCATTTTTTTCTTTTGCAATTTTGTTTCTAGACTGATTTTTAAGTTCACAAAATTTTTAACATTTACATGTCGGTTTACAAAGCTTACATCTACATTCATCCAGAAATGTTAAAATTGTTTATATTTTTTATTTCGTTTGTTTGGTATTTTTATTTTCCCTGGTGTTGTTGTAAATGAAACTGAATTGAACTGAACTGACATTTAACGAAGTGTTAAATTTATGCATAAAAAATTTATAAACTTTTAGTCGATTTTAATTTTGTTTATTATATTCTAAAAAAAAGTTTTATGCGGCAACACAATGTCATATTGCTTAAGAGTGACAAATTTATTAATTTGTAACATTTTGCTAAAATAAATACTTTTGTTCCTAAACGTTACAGTGCGTTGGTGGTTATGTTTGACTTGTCTGCCATTTTATCGGATTTGTTTACAATTCTAGCGCATATTATTTATCGTTATTTTATGTCTAGTATTTACATAAATTTTTTTAGAGCAATATTGTGTACCCCTACACCACTGTAGGTGGTGAATTTTAAGTTGAATTTAGAAAATGTTTTAATGTAATTCCCATACAATAGTAGTGAAAGTTGTAATTGAAAACACTCCATGCTTTAGATTAAACGTAACTACTTTTTTCATAAAATTTACGAAAATTTCGTATATATTACGAAATATTAGTTGATCAAAATTTGTAATATGATTTTTCATATATATTAGGAAACAATGTTTAATTTTACAAAAATTATTTCTTTAAGGCATGTGACATTTTCGTGGTACGAAACTACGAAGCATTTTATACAATATACGACATTTTTCGTACAAGTATGGATTATTTTCAGTGTAGGGTGGTTGGAAACAAACAACTGTTTTTTTTTCTTATGGAATTAATGGTGGAAATGATTGTCTGCATAAATGATAACATATTTTCCTGGAACTTAATAAGTTACATTATTTTTTTTTTAATAATTTAAATTAGAAATTTATGAAAACCTCTTAACAAGCCCATGTTTTATTTATGAATTCTACGTGTCGTTTCGTTT